CCAATGCCAACGTCAATGCCCTTCAACGGCCGGACCGAATTGCTTACCCAGCTCTGTTTGGCTTCAACAATTAACACAAATTTCTCATGGGTTATGTAAGGATAGGTACGAGGTGCCAAGCCTCGAACTGCTATAGTAATTCCTTTCCGCTCAAATGGCTGCATGACAAGGACAATAAACATGTCCGCATCTGATTCCTTATGATGAGTAACACAACAAGTATGGTAGACGCTCGTGCATCTAAATACCTCTCAAATTTTTGGTCCCGGAATAATCGTCTGGATGGACACGTCAAGCTCCGATTATCTTGCTTGGCATGACACGTGGGTTCCTCATTGGATCCTATAAATACTCCCCGGGCCACGTCAAAAAGGTAATTGGAACCAACCCTAAGCTCTTTTTATCTCCGCCTTAAAGGTAGCCCCGATTATTGCTGACTTAAGCATCGGAGTGTCTACGCCGAGTTTCACCTCGGGGCTTTGCAGGTCATCTCGGAGTACAAGCGCGGACTGAAGAAGAACTTCCGGTTTGGTGCAATTACATTGGCGCCGTCTGTGGGAATCGAACTGAAAGCTTTCTAGTTGCTCTTTCATCATGGTTCACACTCGATCAATCCGAGCTGGTAATTCATCTCTGCCTCATGGGCAAGGTCAACCACACAACAACCTTCCACCTCTGATCCCATCTCAAATCCAACCTCAGCTTCCACCTCAGGTTCCAACCATATTCCCTCCTGTTGATCATGCAGAAAGAGGAGATGAAAACCAACCTCATGCCTCAGCTCACAATTCCACTTCCACTACCAACCACGACGTGGTGACAGCTCAGCTTGCTGCCATGCAGCAGCAATTTGGTGTTTTTCAGTTAGTACTAGCTCAGCTTCTAGCTAGAAATAATCCTGGTGATCCCCTCATTAATCTACTAAACCCTGCTCAACAACCCCCAGCTCCACAACAGAATCCCCAACTGATTCCACCTGCTCCCGCTATTAGCGAATCTCAGGGTCAATCCCACATAGCACCTGCTCAGCAACCCATCCCAGATGATGTCACCTGACACCTAGATAGCTTGGAAAAGCTAGTAGCTGAACACCGAGGTACTCCACCCCCACACCATGCTGCTAATTCTATACCTCATCCTCTGAATACCAACATTACGCTAGAACCCTATCCCATTGGCTTCAAAATACCACAACTGGAGACTTATGATGGGACGAAGGATCCCGATGATCACCTGCATGCTTTCTACTCTTGCATGCAAGCTCAGAACGCCTCTGACGCGTTAATGTGCAAAATCTTCCCCTCTACTTTGCGAGGTAATGCTTGAACTTGGTATTACAGCCTACCTCCAAGGTCAATTAGTTCTTATACAGAAATGGCATCTGCCTTTGCCACTAAGTTTTCCAGTAGAAGGTTGATTAGGAAAATTACCACTGAATTGATGCAAGTTAAACAGAGGGACGGAGAGTCTCTGAAGAACTACATGAGCAGGTTCAATGATGCGGTGTTGGAGGTTAGTTCCTTCGACCAAGCTGTGGGTGTTGCAGCTGTAATCTCTGGTCTCAAACATGATAGGTTCAGAGACAGTTTGATCAAACATGCTGCCACCACCTTTAGCGAGGTGAACGATAGGTCTCTGAAATTTATAACTGCTGAGGAATACGCCCTGGCACAAAACCCACCTTCCTCTAAGAACCAGAACCCAGAATGGAGAGATGACAATCCGAGTCGGAAAAGGATGAGAATGGCGCAGAACCGAGGTCCGATGTTGACCTCCCCAACGAGATTCGGAAGGACGAACTCAACTCCCCCGCAACAACCTGCAGGTAAACCTCCAGTTAATTGGACTCCCTTTAATCTGCCGAGGTCACAAATTTT